CGCATTTAGCCTAATAGTAATGGGGAACAGTTATCTCTCGAAAATGGAGACACTTGTGTTGCTGGTCTGATCCTGTCTTCGACCCTGCATTGAACACGGCCCGAGACGTTATGCCGTAACCCAATGCTCAGCTACAGTCCATAACGGTTATGGACTGTGGCTGAGCATTGGGTTACTCAGAGGCGGGCCATGCTGAGCATCAGTATGAACTCCGTATCCTCATCAATGGAGAATCAAGAAGAGCTCAAGAATGCGAGCAACTGAGAGTGTTGGGTCCTCAGATTATCGGGGGCCGGCGCACTGTGTGGAGTCTACTCGAAGTCGTGGTCGGGTCTTGAATTGATAGTATCAATCTGACATTTCAGGTAGCTGATGCTGCTGACTCTGACAACACAATCTCGGAGTTAGATGCAGGTATCAGATCGTACATAGGCTGCGGCCGGCAAGGTTGGCAGGAGTGCCAACGATAATTCTCAAAGAATCCACGTGAAACTCTGAATGTGATTGGTGGTTTAGCACGTGTACCAATGAGCCACCCTTAGCAATGGCGCGCCCGCTATTGCTGTCTATCTGCTTACTCCGCATAGGTAGAACCGCACAAGCAGGGTCGCTCAAGTAGGGCCGCACAGTCGCACATAGCGAACGCACGATATAGCGCAACGAATAAACTGGCCAACACAAGCGGACAGATCATCGGATGATCTAGGATGATTCATTGTACAGCAACTATCCTGCTATTAGCGACATGTCTCCTACAATTGCTCGCATGGGAGTCCCATGCGCGCAATTGTAGGAGACTCCTTGTGTGATAGGGTACGTCGGCGCCTTGCGTCTCCTCTTGGATCGAGGATGTCTGATTGGTTCATTGAATGAACTTCATTCCCACCGAAATTAAAAGATCGAATCGGTAGCATAGTATATATGATTCTCTTCTTGTTATCCATCGAAATTAAGAGATCGAATCGGTAGCATAGTATATATGATTCTCTTCTTGTTATCCATCGCTATCCTCGAGAGAGCGGGAAGTGAGAGGCCGCTTTGCCCCATCAGTGGTGGCAACGAACATTTTGGTTACATCCAAGTCAGCAAACTCAACCAGTGGGTGGAACGGAGATTCAGGATCTCGTAAATGTGTCATGTATCTATCGTAGATACTTCTATAGCGTTATAGAAGCCGATAACGGGCCACAAACGGCGCCTACCTTCTTGTTTATCGAGGGTGGTTTTGGTGCCAGCAGTTTGTCGTCAGTACTGCAGCAGAGTGGACCATGCATCATGGATGTCTCAGGAAAATTACAAAAGAACATGTAAGATCTACGGCATGTTCAGAAAACTTCGAAGGTTCCAATCATCTCAGATTCTCGTGGACCCAACAGGCCAATGGTATCTGGGTCGATGCGCCTGCTCCGACGGGATTCAGCAAGGGAGCCGTCGAGTCGGAATGGGAAGATTTCATACAAAACATGTCAGATGTTCCGAAGTCGATGATGGCTTTCTCAACTGTCCACATGCAGGATTAACTTCGTGAACAAGATATTTGAGCTATACCCGCACTTGAATACCAAAGTGCACCTTGTCGGGAATTCAGCGGCAGGTATGGTTACCAAACCGAATAGCCTAGTTGTCGTCGATGGATGCCTGTGGCAGGCAGTCTGTCTTACCTCCTTCAGCTTCTGTAGTGGCCACGGTTGGAGCACGCATCGCCAAGGCTGCTGTACCCAAGATCCATCTTGTCGGCGTTCTGATGACCTCTGGTGCAATTGATCCATATACTGCGTAAGTTAGGTTGCACGCCAGATTCATGATGGTGCAACATCAGTTACTACGGAACATTTAGAATGGTGAAAGACAACAAACTGCTCCCTCCGGA